AGGGCTAGAGGACTCTTTCAATAAAGACAAAACATAGTCGTTCAGCTTTTTCTAGCTCCATTGGCTCTGAGATGTGTTATTTTGAAAGTTCCAGGAAGAAAGTGTAATGGGGCAGTGAGAAAAAGAGGAAATAAAAATTACTCATATTTTATAGGCTTTTAAATAACATCCTTCCCTCCACTTAGACATACGCCAACCCACTTAATGTTATCTGTAGAACTCTGAATAATAATCTTTCCATCTAACAAATGCATGCACGCTGGTCCATTCACTAATTCAACCCACACTTACTGACTGTGCTATCTTGGCTGCACCCTACCCACTATTTCATTTGCTTCTCATTTTGTCCTCCAAGAAAGCAAGCTCTATGAATACACATGGAGAGGGGTGCATCCACACAAAAATGCACAGTTCCTAGGTATTTTATATGAGTAGGTCTGGGATAGGAAGAACAAATTCAAGTTCAGTTCATGAAACAAGAGTAAGCACCAAACCAGTTCAAGGAACTTGGAGAAAGTTGGTGCGGGACTACAGAGACTCCCAATGTCACCTGGCAACAGTGGATGAAAATTTAGGTGAAAATGACTTTGGAAGACCCAATCCTTCCAGCAAGGTGGTGTTGCAGGTTTAGGCATTTAGTGCCCATCCCCACCATCACTCCCACTCCAAACCCAGCAAAAATATACAGTCACAAATAAGGGTTCTTCTGTGTCTGTATGATAAAACAAAACCAAGATTAAATATTCTAAACAGAATGTGATATGCACACACATGTACATATCCACACACAGGAATACTACTCAGCCTTGAAAAAGGAAATCCTGTCATTTGTGAGAACATGGATGACCCCAGAGGATATCATGCCAAGTGAAATAAGCCTGGCCCACAAAGACTAATTCTGCAGAATCTCACTTACATGTGGGGTCTGCAAAGGCCGGACATGCAGAGGCAGAGAGCAGAATGATGGTTACCAGGCTGAAGGGCAGGGAAACGGGGAGAAACTGGCCCAGGAACACGAAGTTCCAGTCGGGTAGGAGACCTAACCCACAGGTGGGGACTGCAGCCCACAAGACCGCGTTGGATGCAGTTGGGCCTCTGTGTCCAGTGGTTCCACATCCACGGAGTGGACCAACCACAGAATGAAAATGGTTTGGGGGGAAATCCCATCTGTACTGTCCATGTATAGACTTTTTTTCTTGTTATTATTTTCTAAACACTGATAATATATAACAGCTATCTGCTTAGCATTTACACTGTCTAACATATTGTAATCTACAGGGGACGTGCACGTGTTATGTAAAGATCCTACACCTTGCTATTTAAGGAAGATGAACAGTGTGGATTTTGGCATCCATGGAGGGTCCTGGAACCAATCTCCTAACCAAGGCACAATTGCCCTTGAACGTTGCTGTACCAGGGGACCTTACATGGTTTCACCACACACACTCAAAAAGATAGCCAGGTAAGGTGTTGGACACATTAATTAGTTTAATTGTGGTGATTATTACACAAGGTATCAAACACCAAACTAGCAAAACATCATAATTATAAATACATATAATTTTATTTGTGACTTATATGTCAATAAAATTGGGGGGGGGGGTCTTTCACCAAAAAAAAAAGAAAAGAGGATGAGAAACAAAATAAAAATGAAAGTATACTGTAGACACGGGCATCCGTTAGCCTGCTTCTGTGAGGCTGGAGCCGGGCTGACTGCTGGGCATCAGGGAATGTGGAGGGGAGACCCCTGCAGTGCATTAGAAGGGGGCTTTAAAAACTTGCCTGCCTGGGGAGGAAGAAACACAGCCTCTCACCCAGGCCTGGGGTCCTGCGGGGTGTGGCCCGGTGGTAGATCTTGGATATCCCATCACCGCCAGGGACCGAAGACTCTGGCTGCAGAGACGTGACTCTGGCCAGCGTCCACGGAGGTAGGAAGTAAGGGACAGCCCCTTGATGGGTTACGGTGGGTGCAGGGGGAGAACACAAGGGAACAGCTCGAGAGGAGGCTCCAAAGCATATTCCCAAAGCACACGAGAACAATTAGCACTGAAAAGGTGACCGACAAATCAACACCGATGTGTCCGCTCCAGGGGAAAGGAACAGAACAGAGCGATCTGAAGCTGACTTGGAGAACAAGCTGCACAGACTGTTTCTGTTCCTTTTTTTTTTTTTTTTTTTTTTTTTGGACAGGCAGAGTGGACAGTGAGAGAGAGAGACAGAGAGAAAGGTCTTCCTTTTGCCGTTGGTTCACCCTCCAATGGCTGCCGCAGCTGGCGTGCTGCAGCCGGCGCACCGCGCTCATCAGATGGCAGGAGCCAGGTGCTTCTCCTGGTCTCCCATGGGGTGCAGGGCCCAAGCACTTGGGCCATCCTCCACAGCCTTCCCGGGCCACAGCAGAGAGTTGGCCTGGAAGAGGGGCAACCGGGACAGAATCCAGCACCCCGACCGGGACTAGAACCCGGTGTGCCAGTGCCGCAAGGTGGAGGATTAGCCTATTGAGCCACGGCGCCGGCCACCGTTTCTGTTCTAACATTCCTCAGACTTCTTAAAAAAAAAACCAAAAGATTTATTTATTTGTTTGAAAGAGTTACAGAGAGATAGGAGAGACAGAGAGAGATCTTCTATCTGCTGGGTTACTCCCCAAATGGCTACAATGGCCGAGGCTGGGCCAGGCTGAAGCCAGGAGCCAAGAGCTTCCTCCGGGTCTCCCACGTGGGTGCAGGGGCCCAAGGACTTGGGTCATCCTCCACTGTTTCCCAGGTGCATTAGCAGGGAGCTGGACCGGAAGTGGAGCAGTCAAGACTCCTGCACCATAGCACCAGTCCCCCTCAAACTTCTCACTATGTACATGGTGAAGTTTCCAGTGATTTATGTTGGCTCGGGGTTCTGGAGCTCCAAGTCCACACAGCATGGCACAGGCTGCACTGCGTCCCTGCAGGAGTGTGCCCCTGCTGATGCCTGTCAAGGTTTGAGAGGGTGACCTAGTGCTTCCCAGTGACTGGCTGGAAGCACGGTGGCACCCCCCTAAACTTAGCAACCAGGAGACCACTGGGGATGGCTGTGTCCCCTGAGCACCGTTAGGCAAGGGCTTCTGAGGTCCATGTGCACTGACAGACTGAGGGCAATCTTGGGACGGTTTGTGAAGGCAGAATGGCCCGGGACAGCCAAGGTGGAAGCGACGGATGGAAGAGCTCAGCCAACATAGGAGACAGCAGCTTTCTTTGACAATGGTGGGAGAGCAGGTGGACTAAGCAAATGTCTCCCAGAAATTAAACACGGGCTTTACGGCTAAACCCAGGCTGAAGGTGAAAGAAGCGTATGAAATTCTCCACCTTCTCTGTTGCAGACAAAACAGGTGTTTACATTTATAAAGCAGCATGACATGCATATGAAAGAGGCAGCTCCTACACAGACAGATGACCACTGGATGAAGGAACACCCGAGCAAGCGTTGGAAGCCAGGAGACAAGTGGAGGCACCGAGTACACTCCTCCTACCCTTTGTGACGGAAACTCAAAGGAAAAAAGCTCTGTGTAAACCAAACTAATTAATCTCAGCCAACACATGGGAAAGGCTCTGGTAGTGTTAAGGTGAGAATGTCCTGCACAGCTCCTGTTCCTCTGGTGTCATCAGTACCTGCTCCTTGGCTGAGTCAGGTGTTGCCATGCATCACTGGAGGATGGAGCCACAGATGCTACCAGGTGCCAAGGAGAGACAGGTGGGTGGGAGAAATCTCAGACTCCGCCCTAACCCTGGCCGGAATGTCGGCTTAAGGAGAAAAGCACCTCTTTGGAGAGGTGACAGAGGCAAGCAGTTACCTCTCTGAAAACGGAACTCCAAGGGACCATGACGCATTGCTCAATGACTAATTCAGTTTTTTTTTTTTTTTTAAAGGTCCCAGAAGGAAGTGAAGACAAAACTCTCCTTCTCAACCCCTCGGGCGGGATCTCGGAGGGACCCCAGGTGTCAGCCTTGCCTAAGATCATTGATTCATGGGTGTCAGACAAGTTCAAACGCAGAGAGCTGTGATGCTGCATCATGAATGTGAGCGCGTGCCTGAGCAGGGAGGGTGCTTAACTGTTGCTTCCAAATCTGGAACCATGGAGTCTGGGCAAGTTCTCAGGCCAGCACCACGTGGGGCTCAGGCGATGCCAGCAGAGCCAGCAGGTGCCACCTCGGCTCCCAAACCCCATGGGTTGTAAGCCCAGCTTCTGGACAGCTCGCGTGTTTGTTTTCTCTCTCTCCCTCTCCCCCTCTCTCTCTCCCTCTCCCCCTGTCTCTCTCCCTCTCCCCCCTCTCTCTCCCTCTCTCCTCCGCCTCCCCACCTAACTTAAGGAGGAAGAAGTATAATGATTCATGTGGATTTACTGCCACTGATCTCAAACCAGCAAATTCTGCCAACAGAGATTTACCAGAAAGGAAGCCGAGAAACAACCTATCATTAACTGACAGTTACTGGGGAGTTAATTACTCAGTCCTTTGTTTCACGATTTTCTTGCTCCTCCTTCATTCCTTTGACCATTTCTCTGTTGACTCGGTTCCCACATCCATCAGAGAAATACAGCAGGGGAGACGCTCAGTGCCCAGCAGGGCAATGGTGGTCACAGGCTGCAGGAAAGGCTTGGTGAAGAAAGGGAGGGAGGGGTGGATACGATAATTACCGGACATGCGATTGCTTTTCTACTTGGGTTAGCTGGGTATAAAGCAAAGTTTAGCTCTGGCCTCTGGGTCTGCTGTTGACCGTGAGGACAACAGGACTATTACCATCTACACTGAAAAGCAAAGGCTGAATGAAATAATACAAAGGGCCAAAAATAGCTCTTCCCACCTGTCACACATGCAAGCTGCATTAAAACACCTGTAATTTACTCACTTCCCATAATTAACACGTGGCTGGAAACGCCTAGCCTGGAAGGAGGAAGTCTTCTGTGACTGTACACATTTTAACTTCCTGGAGACTTAGACATTTGCATCTCTACACCTGCGTGAGTAATCCGTTACCTGTCGGCTCCCCTGCTTGGAGGAGCAGCTGCTGGTGCTTCTTGAGGGTGAGACCAATTTCTGGGACACACCAAGACTCTTCTCCTCATTCATCATGAGCGGCTGGTCACGTGGCCTTAACACCGTCAAAATGCCATCAGAAGAGGTGGATCCAAGGGTGCGGAAGTTCCACACAGGCAGGTAGCTCAGCTCTTACCCAACATCGTTAAAATGCAGTCTGGACAACCCATGGGAAAGCCCTGCAACCAAAAGAAAAACAAAGAGAGAGAGAGGGTCAGAGGCAGTGGCCATCATCTGTAATTAGCTGTGAATTGTCTGTGAGGCACTCATCCACACTACAGACCGGAGCCACGATTCTCATCCACTCTACAGACCACAGAGCCATGACTCTCACCCACTCTACACACCATAGAGCCATGACTCTCATCCACCCTAGACCACAGAGCTACGACTCTCATCCATTCTACACACCACAGAGCCATGACTCTCATCCACACTACAGACCACAGAGCCACGATTCTCATCCACTCTACAGACCACAGAGCCATGACTCTCATCCACCCTAGACCACAGAGCCATGACTCTCATCCACCCTAGACCACAGAGCCACGACTCTCATCCACTCTACACACCACAGAGCCATGACTCTCATCCACCCTAGACCACAGAGCCATGACTCTCATCTACCCTAGACCACAGAGCCACGACTCTCATCCACTCTACACACCACAGAGCCATGACTCTCATCCACTCTACACACCACAGAGCCATGACTCTCATCCACACTACAGACCACAGAGCCACGACTCTCATCCACCCTAGACCACAGAGCCATGACTCTCATCCACTCTACACACCACAGAGCCACGATTCTCATCTACACTACACATTACAGAGCCACGAGGTGCAGCCCACTACAGACTGCAGAGCCACAATGTGCAGTCCACTACAGACCATAGAGCCACAACGCGCAGCCACACAAGGGGCTGTGAAGGAAGAAATGCTTCACACCTTTGTGTTGTTGGGAAATTTGTGTACATAGTTTCTCACATTGCTTTGTGATCTGACCAACTTATGAACATTATTATGGAAATCTGAGTCCAGACATAGACCAATCAGTACTATAAAAAAAAAAAAACCCACACCTCTCTGCATGCACTATGATAGCCAAGATTTTCATAAAGAAAGAAAAGAAATAGTGTCAGAAGGGTACAGAGAAATGAAAACCTTCAGACATTGCTGGTGGGAACAAAAAATGGAACAGCCATTGTGGAAAAGTTTGGCAGTTTCCAAAAAATGTAAACATAGCACTATCATACGATCCAGCAATCCCACTGCTAGGTAGGCTCATTTAGCCAAAAGAATCAAACACCTGCATGCAAACAAAAACTTGTAGACCAATATTCATAGCAATGCTATTTGCAATAGCCAGAGGTGGAAAGAACCCAAATGTCCATAGACTAATGGACAGACTAAATATGATACAGCCATACAATAGAATACTATGCAGATATTAAAATGAATGAAGTACTGTTATGTACCACAGGGTGGAAAAATCCTGAAAACAGTATGCTAAGTGAGAGGCCAGACACAAAAGACCACATATTACATGGTGTGATTTAGATGAACTACCCAGAGACAGGAGGCCAATTAGTGGCCTCCAGGGGCTGTGAGGAGGGAAGCATGGGGTGTGAGTGCTGAATGGCTTCGAGGCTTCCTTCTGGGGTGATGAAAATGTTATGGAAGCAGGCAGTGCTGAGGGAGTACTAAATATCACTGAACTATACACTGACAATGGTCTAAAAGGTGAACATATTGTTATGTGTACTTTACCACAATTTAAAAAATTTCCTTTCTGGTTTTTGGGGAATAGAGTGAGAGATTTGTTCACCCAAAGACTCTTGAAAACATCTTTCAAAACCTCTATAATATAATATGGCCAAAACTGCAGGGAGAGCAGTTTCCCATATCATCTATTAGCATATTAATAATTAAAACAAGAATCATTTACTGTGTGTATACCACTTATTGCCAAGCACTATATTAAGGGTTACTCCAAGCGTCTCATTTAATCCATGGTCTGACAGGAAAGTATTATCTCTATTTTATGAAGAAGACAAGTGAGTCTCTGAGAAGTCTGGAAGCTTGCCAACCACAGGGCTGCCAGGGGCCCCTTAGGGCCCGACCCCAGCCCCACAGCTGCGGTGCTCTAAACCAGCACCACCCCTAGTGGCTGCGTCTGGTAACAGCAGCAATTGCCCCACCTTGGAGACCTAAGTGAGGAGCTGACTGGGAAGGTGGGAGGGAAAACAGGCCAGGCCCGCTTTGAAGAGATAACCGCCGTTCCTTTCTGTAGCACAATTCCAGTCTGCAAGACAGCAAAGGACCTGGGGTGGGGCGGGGGGTGACCAGGGCAGAGACCCTGCCAGGAGCCAGCTGGGCTGTCCCTGGCCACCCGGCATCTCTCTGGAACTCTTGTCCTGATGGAAGCTCCCCAGTCTTCGGAGAGGACAAACGTGGCCCTGGATTCACTGTCTGACTCACAGCCCTGGGTGAAGGGTGAGTCCTGTGTTTGGTTTGGGTTTCAGAAGGCCAGGACTTCATTTGGAACACTAAGTCCGAGTAAATTCCACAACTTTCCCAGGCATGTTAACAACGATGATAAAAATCATCTCTAATCCACCCAGCTGGTGGTGTTCACATGGTCTAATTTACTAGCAAGGATGTTATTTAACTGCCCAGGAAACAGCAAGATAGATATGGCATCAAACTTTTGGTTAATTACCAAACCGATAAAATCTCCTATGTCTTCCCTAACTCTTAATGCTTAAATGAATGCCAAAGCCATAAACTAAAATCAAAACAATGAAGGGAACTATCCACATCTCTGAAAATAAAACTAAGGCCTCTGTGGCAATAGAACTCAATTTCCACGTGACCCTCCTATAAACCCCCTGAATCTCTGTATTTATATTGGACCCTACAATAAATAGGACTAAGAAAACAAGTCAAGGAAAGTTAGCTTTACTTCTAGGGGCATGTACCTGAAGTCAGAGCGGATGTAATCTAGCTCACAGCTGCCAAGAGAAGCTATAAAGGCGTATTAATAGTGTGTTGAATAACAGTGTTTGAGAAAGGACAGAAAAACAGCCCGATGGGAACCCCAAATGATGAAATGGGGTGGGGGACAGCTGTTGCTATGGCAACTGATCCACAGTGGGTTGGGAATAGCAACAATGGGCTGTGTGTGCACACGAGCGTACATGCATGTGTGTTGTGCATGCGTGCGTGCGTGCGTGTGTGTGTGATTTATTTGTTCTAACACCAAGGTGCTGATAAGCAAGAGTATGGGACAAGAGGCCTGTGTGAAACATGCAGGAGGCGGCGACATCTGGGCCATAAAACGAGAGACCCGGGAATTCTGAAGCGGTGCCAAGTCAGAGACATCACAGCCCTGCCACTCAAAGGTGCTCTCTGTGGCTCTGTGGGCCAAATTCCTCATCAGAGGGCAGCACCACAGGGGCCAGACCTGTGCTCGCTGCGTGGCCTCTGCCAGCACCACCCCCAGCCCCCCAACCCGGGTCACTGCTCCCTTCAGAGAAGCAAGGGGGACCACCACACCCCTCCCACACCCACCTCCGGGGGCGGAGCCTAGGACTGCTGCCTGGGAAACACACCTCCTCCTCCCCAGCACCCCCCTGCCGCAGAAATACGGTGGAAGTCACCACAGGTGGCTTACACAGCCAAAGCCGTCGAATGGCAGGAGAAGATTATGCCTATAACAGGGAGAGAAAGAATGGAAGCTGCAGCAATGCACCAGGGAGGTGGTCCAGGTGCCAAGGAGTCCTCTGATCAGAGGCGGCAGCCACTGTCCCGCTCTAGGGCGCTCTGCAGGGCTCAGCCCAGTCACCAGAGGGAAGAGGCCTTGGCTGGAGTCCCAAGACGGGGGAACTCGATGAAAGGGTACTGTCTACACCAACAGCCAGCGTCACTGGACTGCAGCACGACACTGACTACAAACCCCTGATGGCCACAGGGCCAGGGAGCTGGCTGCTGACCCAGCTGTGCACTTGACAAGCGCCCAGGGTGCTCATCCTGCCCAGAGACCCATCCATGGAAAACTGCTGACTCAGTAGGCCCATTGGCTTGAACAAATCTAATCATCTCCCTCTCCTACACTGCGAGTAAGGAAACAGCTCGCCCCCCTAACTCCCATCCAGAACCAGCCTCCCAGCAGGGTGCTAACTTGGTCCCTGGGGGCTGGTCCTCCTGCAGGGAGCTGTCCCCAGCCAATCACTCCCACAAGTCCTTGTCAACACGCAGGAGAGACCCTGTAGGTTTTACGGCTTTGGTGCATTCTATCTAACGACACAACTCGTTGGGGATGTGTGGTGGGATTCAGTCAGGTACCTGCTTCAGGCCAACAAACCAGCAGGTGGAGGCCCTGGAACTCTGTACTTCCTCAAAGTCGTGGAGGCCACAACATCTAAGAGGAGTGAAGGGCCAGTGTACCGAGGCCAATGCAAAGACGCCCTGGCTCGAGCCCCGGAGCAGGCTCCTCTCTCCCCACTGCCACCCACCTTTGAGAAGCGGATGGCCACACCCATGTGAAAACGCAGCGTTTGGGTTAAAAGTGAGAAGGGCGTAAGACGCGCAAACCAATACCGACTTGGCGCTTCCGTCAGTAACAGAGAACAGATTTCAATGAAGAACAGGAAGAATAAATAACTGATGGAGTGCCAAGGCTGGTGTTAAGATTTATCTTAGAAAATTTCATTTAAAAGAAGACACAATTTGAGGGAATAATGCAAAGGACACATGGACACCCAAGGATGTGCCCTGGGAGGAGTCAGACCTCACTACGTATCTTGTGCATGCTGACAAATGTATTAACATCTCTGATCTGTAGGGTTTTTTTTGTTTTTTTTTTTTTTTTTTTCTGTATAAAATGAGGAATAATAGGGGCTGGCGTTGTGGCGTAGCAGGTAAAGCCGCTTCCTGTGTCGCTGGCATCCGTATCTGTGCTGGGTCTTAGCTGTTCCACTTCGGATCCGGTTCCCTGCTAATGCACCTGGGAAAAGCAGCAGAAGATGGCCCAAGTGTATGGGCCCCTGCCACCCACATGGGAGACCAGATGAAGCTCCTGCTTCAGCCTGGCCCAGCCTTGGTCGTTGCGGTCATTTGGGGAGTGAACCAATGGATGGAAGATCTCTCTATCTGCCTCTCCCTTTCTCTCTGT